GCCCATGTGGGGCCTCAAAGAGCCTACGGCTCCCAGGTCCCAGGGTGAGGGACTGAGAAGCCGCAACTCCTTCCTAACAGCGGCGGAGAGATGAGCAGACTGAACACTCGGCAGCTCTTCTCAGATCCTGAGAAAATGTGCCTGCTTGCTGTGAACTGCTGTCCCCAGTCTGGAAATCAGACACGGACTAGGGGGGTCACCGTGGAGGGAACACTCGGGAGCAGAAACCACCGTGGGTCCCACGCTGCTCGGGCCGGAAAACCCCACTGCAGCCGCTGGAGGCTCTGCACAGTCAGCTCTGAGCCGAATCCCTATGGGATCCTGGCTATAGGGGGCCCCAGATTCTGTGAGATTTTCCTCTAGGAGCTCAACCAGATTCTCACAGTAGATAGTGGAGAAAAATCCCCATGGGCTCCTGGCAGGGGAGAGGGGAAAGGATTGTTAGGAAATACACCAGGGCCCTGTGTTCTTCTGAGCAAGGCCTCAGGGGAAGCTAGACAACCGGAGCACAGCCCGCAGGGGTATCACCAGGGCCCAGTTAACTGGGAGAAGGGAAATACCCAATTCCAGCCCCCTCTAGCCACGGTGAGATGGGGTGGGGTGGGGAGGGGAGGGGAGGACTGGGAGACACCCCTGAGGTTCAGAGTCCAGAGGCATGGACCCACTGAACACTGACACCTCGTCACACACCCCGAGCCCTTCCCCTCCCCCTTGCACCACATCACTAAACACCTACTTATAGCAATTCCTTCAACCCAGTTTATTATGTATGATTATCAAGGAAAAATTACAAGGCACAGCAAAAGGCAAAAAACACAATTTGAAGAGACAGAGCATGTGAGAACTGGATATGGCAGGGATGTCAGAATGTCAGATCAGGAACTCAAAACAGTTATGACAATATCCTAAGAATCTAATGGATAAAGTTAGCATGCAAGGACAGGTGGGCAGTGGAAATAGGGTGGAAATCTTAAGGAAAAGAAAAAAAAAGAAATGCTAGAGAGAAAAACACTGTAACAGAAATAAAGAATGCCCTTGATGGGCTTGTTTGTACAGTGAACACAACTAAGAATCTCTGAGATGTATATATTTAATAGACTCTTTGAAGATTGAAACTCAAAATGAACAAAGACTGAAAAAAACAAAACAAACCAAATGGTAGAGTACAAGGACCGTGGAACAGCTGCAGAGGTGCAACATACATATAAGGGGCCCACCAGAAGGAGAAGAAGGAGAAAGGACAGAAAAAGCATTTGAAACAATAATGAGGGAGAATTTCCTTAGGATATCACCAGGGCCCAGTTAACTGGGAGAAGGGAAATACCCAATTCCAGCCCCCTCTAGCCACGGTGAGATGGGGTGGGGTGGGGAGGGGAGGGGAGGACTGGGAGACACCCCTGAGGTTCAGAGTCCAGAGGCATGGACCCACTGAACACTGACACCTCGTCACACACCCCGAGCCCTTCCCCTCCCCCTTGCACCACATCACTAAACACCTACTTATAGCAATTCCTTCAACCCAGTTTATTATGTATGATTATCAAGGAAAAATTACAAGGCACAGCAAAAGGCAAAAAACACAATTTGAAGAGACAGAGCATGTGAGAACTGGATATGGCAGGGATGTCAGAATGTCAGATCAGGAACTCAAAACAGTTATGACAATATCCTAAGAATCTAATGGATAAAGTTAGCATGCAAGGACAGGTGGGCAGTGGAAATAGGGTGGAAATCTTAAGGAAAAGAAAAAAAAAGAAATGCTAGAGAGAAAAACACTGTAACAGAAATAAAGAATGCCCTTGATGGGCTTGTTTGTACAGTGAACACAACTAAGAATCTCTGAGATGTATATATTTAATAGACTCTTTGAAGATTGAAACTCAAAATGAACAAAGACTGAAAAAAACAAAACAAACCAAATGGTAGAGTACAAGGACCGTGGAACAGCTGCAGAGGTGCAACATACATATAAGGGGCCCACCAGAAGGAGAAGAAGGAGAAAGGACAGAAAAAGCATTTGAAACAATAATGAGGGAGAATTTCCTTAGGTTAATGTCGGACACAGATCACAGATCCAGGAAGCTCTGAGACCACAAAAAAGGCAAAAAAAAAAAAAAATAACCCGAGGCATATCAGCTACAGAAAAGCAAAATAAAGAAACAATTCTGGAAAAAAACAGAGGAGAAAACCACCATATCTATAGAGGAATAAAGGTAAGAGCTACACTGGACTCCTCCTCAGAGACCACGCAGCAGGGAGATAACGGAGTCCAACATGGGAGCGGCTGGAAGGCTGGAAGCAGCTCCTATAATCAAGCTCCATGAGGCAAAATGTGCCACCATACACACCCACAGTCAGTGAAGACAGCCGTTCTCGACAGACAGACAGAAACTCTAAAATGACTAATTGGAAATTTTAAAAGTGAAAATGCAGTAGCTAAAGTAGAAAATTAATTTAATGGGCTCAATAGCAGGATAGAATTGACAGAGGAAAAAGGCATTGATTTTGAAAGCAGATCAATAGAAATTATCCAGTTCAAAGATTAGACAAAATACTACCAAAAACAAATCAAAGTTTTGGAATTTGTGGAACAGGTTCAATAACACAAGACTTAATCATATCCTTGGAATCTCAGGAGAGGAGAGACATTGGTGCAGAGAAAAAAATTAAGTAATATATGAAAACTTCCCAAATTTGGTGAAAGATATTAGAGATTTGAGAAGCTCATTAAACCAACACAGGATAAACTCAAATGCCATGCCCAGACACACGTAATTAAGCCACTGACAATCAAAGGTAATGAAAAATGTCATCCTTTACATGTAAAGGAAAATGGGATGTTGCTGAGTTAACAGTGATTCCTGGCCACACACTGTGGATGCTGAAAGAACATCTCAAAAATGCTGGAAGAATAGAAAGTGGTGACCAGAATTCTTCATCTATCAGAGTACTTTCCAGCCAAATAGAACTAGGACTGTGCTTCCAGCAGATCTGCACTGAAATAAATGGGATGGAAGTTCCTCGGACCGAAGAATGCACCAGAGGCGAAGGAAGGAAAACACACATAAATACAAAGAGAAAGATAAAGGACATTTTTCTCTTTTGCATCATTTAATATATGTAGGATAAGTGAAAGGAAAAATTAAACATTTTTGCTGTGATTTTTCCATGTATATAGATGAATGCACAGGAAAACTATAACATAAAGAGAGTTAAGGAACCTAAAAACAAAAGGATATTTTTATAACCACAGTGTTGTCACAAGTGCAGAAAAATTACCTGTGATAGAATGCTTTTATCTAACTCACAGTCCATTTTCCAATTTTACTAATTGCTTTAATGATATATTTTATATCCCTTTCCCCTATAGCACAAGATGTAATTTAGGACCACATGTTGCATTTAATCATGTTTCTTTAATATCCTATAATCTGGAAAAATTACTTCGCTTTTCTTTGCATTTTATAACATGGGGAGTTTGAAAGACACTGCCCAATTATTTTACAGAATGAACTTAAATTTAGTTCTGATACCATGGATTACCTAAAAGAAATAATTTTCCTGAAATTGAATTTAGAAAATAAATGAATACAAATAAAATTATTCTTACAACACCTCATTAATTACATTTTGCATAAGATTTCCTCTTACAAAGGGTATGGTAACAAGATGCTGAAATCACACATATGATTAACAAAATATACAAAGCATTTCGCCTAGTGGTAGATCTCTTTCTCAAACCTCACTCTGTCTCTCGCACAGAACGACTCTGAGCTTCACTGACGCGTCGTTCACTGCAGCGAGGTCCCCAGGGGAGAGTGGGCGGCCTTCCGCGCTGCTGGGCGAGCGCCTTATAAGCCCTGAGGTGACAGGGCGGAGGGCACTTGTCAGGACTAATTTTACATCCTGTTCTCTTCATCCTACGGAGTTGAGTAAGGTCTGTTTTGAGAATAGTCAGTTTTCCTACCAAAAAAAACCCCCAAAACAATTCAATGGCTTTTCTAGCAACGCTGCCAGCTACTGTTAAGGGGCCAGTGGGAACCCCTGCCTTGGAGCCGCAGCCCCAAACCCCAGGGCTGTGCCGCGGTCCAGGCCGGCGGGGCCCCGGAGCTGCATCCCCCCCTCGCCGTGACCCGCCCTCCAGCCTTCACCGTCCACACCACACGCCTGCCTCCAAGCACCACCGGGGTGATGCGCGGGGACCGACGGCGCGCACATCCACGGCCGCGCTCACACTGCGCCTGCCACGCGCTGCCCCTGGGGTCCCATCCTCCACCTGCTTCCCCGGGCAGCTCTCAGAAAGGAAGCTGACGTGGACCTTAGGGTTAAAGATTGATGAATAAATACAGACAGCATTGCTCTGAGCGAGAATGCGTGTCAAATGCCGTTCCTAGCTGTGGGACGGAAGGTTGGGGTTAGGGGAGGGAGGTTCGGGGTGAGGGGAGCAGAGCGCCCTCCTCGGGCAAATCACGGCCCCGCGGCCCTCGGACAGGCCCAGAGGCGCCCCCTCCTCCCCTCAAATGTCTCTGAGCTTCACCTGCAGCCCAGGGCCATGGCCTCAACCACTCCATCCACTAACCATTAAGTTAGTGTCTGGCTCTCTCAGGCCTATTGGGCGATGCCCTTCGAATACTAACGCCCCGCTTCAGCTGCTGTGTCAAAACAGCAATCACGGACCCCTCGCTTGCTCCTTTTAATTGCAGAGAAACGTCATGTTCTTCCCGATCGTTGTCGGCTTCTTTGGCCTTAACTCCCTCGGAAGACCTTTTGCTAAAAACATGCCAGGAAATATATCTCCCTGAACAGCTTTGTTCTTTTGTGGCTACTGAAGGACCTCTTAGCAAAGAAAATAAACTGGATGACTAAGTGCAAAACATTCATTAAAGTATTCTCCAAACATGGTTTATATGAAAAAAAAAAATGATTTGGCTACAGAGAATGATTGGTATGTCAAGAATTTCATTTCAGGCAACAATTTTGTTATTAGAACAAGCCTCAGTTGTCTGCACGTCGGTTTTGTTCGGAGATGCAATGCAAGATAAATAAGAAAGAGAACTTTGGATGCCATTATCTACCACGCGGTACTTCCATTGTAAGTACAGATAATAACAGCTCTAATATTTTTTTCATTTCCTTGGGTACCAAATCTCCCTCTCACTGCTTATGACGCCCGTCACATCGCAGCTGGTTGCTGTGGCCACAGCTGCTCCAGCTGCTGAGGAGACCTGAACAAATAATCAAGTAGTTTGTGTCTTGGGAGGAGGAAATACACCCTCATCCTTAAACTCATTGTCTGGCATGTCTTATAAGAAGCGACTGAAGTGTTTCTTATAGCTCAGGAGACCTCAAGAATGAAAGGCACCTAAAACAGAGGCATCTTACACCAATTCCCTGAATGGGTGATTACTTAAAAAATATCAAAAGAGAGGGCAGGGGTGTTATGGGAAAGCTAAGTGCCAGCAATGCTGTACTAGCCGGAGGGCCTGGTTGGATTTCCTCTGACACTCCTGTAGCCCCACAGGATAAATAAATGTCACTTCTGCATTCAGATTACTATCTTACAGGGAATTTCTTCTTCTCATTACATAATGGTCAAGCATCATTTTAAAATACGCCCAGCATTTTAAATAGAATTTCCACGATGAGGGAGATTAAATGTGGCCACTTGATACAGTAAACTGCACCCCAGTCCAAAGGTGAAAAGGCCAGAATGTTGGTTATAACTTTTCTGGGGTTTCTCAGGTGCGTCAACTATAAAGCAGGCTTAGCAACGGCCCCCGCCCCAGGGGTGGTGAGGAGGGGATATAGGGAAATTGCACTTTGAAACACATGGAGCACTGTATGTGAGTGGTTCTCAAACTTTAGCATGCAGCAGAATTTGCTAAGACAGACTGCCGGCTGCACTCCCTGAATTTCTGACTCACTGTGCCCAGGACTGGGCTGGAGAACCTTCACTGCTGAGATCCCCGGGGTGCTGGGGCTGCAGGTCTGGGAAATACACCTAGAGACTCACCGGTAAGTTAATCGCTTTGAGAGGGCAGCCAGGGTCTCACTCTCACCCCACTCCCCACCCACCTCTGCTTCAAACAGAGCAGCTGGGCTTGCGTTAGTTTCAATCTTCACTAATTTGGGGGTTAAGAGGTAATATTTCATTTGAAAGAAGGCATAAAATTGTTGGTTTATAAAAGTAGTTATCAAAATGGTAAAGCGCTGAACTGTACACTTTCTGTGTCTTAGAGAGTGAAATGGAGTTTATAACTTATGAGGACTTTGACCAGGTGGAAAATCTAAACTAAATATTATGAGTTCAAACTCTGGACATTTCAAGGGCCTGTATTATGCATCTTTGTTGTCCCAGATACTTAGAAAACGTAGAATTGTCCTATATGGGACTGTAGAGGCACTTACAGATTTAAACCTGAAAGAATCCATAAAGACAACAAGCTTCTAGTCTGGTCAAATCATCAATATTGTAATATAAATCCAAGTGTCAATTTTGTATTTATTTTATCCTTTCTGGGGTCTTATTATGGGATATAAAGATAATAAAATGAATTTATTTAAGGCAACTGAAAGACATTATATAAATCAAATTTACCATCAATTCTTAATAGTCATAGTTTATGGAGGAAAAAATGAACATTAAACAATGAAATGCCTTCCTCCAAAATCCACCAGAGACTAAAATATGTGAATAATACTTATTTATACTGGGAAATGTAAATGGTGGGATTTTCTTAGCAGATATTTAGTTACCAGTTTTAATTTGCTTGAATTAATTTGAGAAGTTAAAAGTGAAGTAGGACAGCACCTAGATTATAGTTTCTAGTAGTATTTCCTGTGGAAAGAAGCCAGCCTTTTTGCAGAATAGCTATTCCCATGTTTGGGGCTAGAAATGCCCAAGCCGCACCGGGCACATTGTGTTTAACCTGGGAGAAAGGAAGTTCCTGAATGACTCGTGGAGTCGTGACATGTGACACAAACGCCACCCCGAAGGGCCCCCCACTGAGCATGCTCGGGGCAGTGTGATCACCCAACAGATGAATACACATCATACATAAAATTTTTGTATTTACAATAGTAAAAAGAAAGAAAAAACCTCTTTGGCCAACAATACTGGCTACCAGGGTACCAACTCATGACTTTGGGATTGAAAAGCAAAGGGAAAATGACCAAGTATTTATCTTGTAACTCCTGAAGGACCTGTAATTCAAAGTAGCTATTAGAAAGTGAGGAAAAATCATTCTTTACAGAAAATGTTCAGCTTTAAAAACATGTAGAAAGAATGAAAGAAATAGAAAATCACCCAAAATTAAATAATAAATCTAAAAAACAGTTATTGAATGGATTCTAAAGCCAGTCAGTGGAATGAAGATGAAAAACTGCAGTGGAGGCATCAGACAGACCCCCCAGCGCCCACCGATTAACTTCATTATTCCTTAAAAATGGAACAGTAAGACCCCGTGTGCTTTAAGCGACACGCAAAAGGCAGTTGAGAGCGCCCGTCTACGAGGCATTCTCGCCGAGCAGTTTGTGTCGATCTGATCACACCTCTGTATCTACCAGCTTACAAGGAATACAGGGAAAGTTAATGACATTAAATGAAACAACCAACTAAATGTGGAAATTGAAACATTTTAACGGACAAGAGAACTATTCTCTCCAACCTACCTACAGCATGAACGGGCTGGGATCAGGAGTTAGAGTTAAAAAAGGAGACATGACCCTTAATAATGAGGAGATCTGAACTAGATTCTATTTGACGAAACAATTATAGTCTGTAATCATATGTTTCTGCAACAATCGGGGGTATTTTAATATAGACTAAATGTTGGATAATATTGAGGGAATATTATTGTGTTAGGTGTGAAAATGGCATAGGGATTATATATGTGTATATGTTTATGATGTATCTATTTGTGTGTATATATATTTTGTCTCATTAAGAAAAAAGGTATATACAAACTGAAATTTTTCCTGGTAATGCCATGATATCTGAGATTTGCTTTTAAAATATTAGTGGGAGGAGGAATAGTTGAAACAAGATTGGCAAAATGTTCATAATTGTTAAAGCTGTGTATGGGTATATAAAAATTTATTATGTTAGCATCTCTACTTACATGTATATATGTATAATATATTAAGTGTTATAAATGCTTAATGTACCATAAGAATATATTCTTATATAATATACATATGTGTATATATATATAATAATACTATTTCATACTTAATTAAATAAAAGAGATTTTTTTCCAGAAATACACATATTGAACCCAAACACTCTTTCGGTCTAAATCCAAATCCTCTTTTCTCTACCCTGTTTCACTCACTGATCCCCTTTGAATAGATTTTCAACACAAAAATTATATTATTACCATGGTTTCCTTGGTAATAATATAATCAACCTAGTAAACAATGCATTTGTATTACATACTGAAACATATTTTCTTGCATGGTAATTAAGGATTCATTATTATTTCTAGTCAAAACAGAAAGAAGAAAGCTTTGGGCTCTCAGACCCCACACCATCTGCATTCCTAAATGACAAAAGAAATCAAATTGGCACATTTACAACAGAGACAAATTCCTTTAGAAATGTGTCTTATTTTAGCAAGCAGCTATGTTATTAAATATAACATTCAAAAATATATGGAGCTTTGCAGAAACATTTCATTCTAATACAATTTATGATGGCATAAATAATTGCAGAGTTAATATAAATGCTTAGTCAATTATGTTTTATTCCTTGTTAGTACAAATGGATTCCTCTCTTTAAGAAAAAAGATATGATATCCATTGATCTGAAGAAAAATGGATGTAATGGTACTAATACTGGGATAGAATTTGGGATACCTGGGTTCTAGTCCAGCCCATAACTAATAAATACATGGCCTGAGCAAACCTCACAATTTCCCAGGTCTCATTTATTTGTCTGTGATATGAGGACTACATGATCTCTGTGGCCTCTCCAGATCTCATATGCTAGAATATTGATAAGCATAGAACAGAATCTTATTTTTCCAGATGCTCAGATGTGCATTTTCGAGTTCTCTGTATGTGTTACTGGTGTGTGTGTGTGTGTGTGTGTGTGTGTGTGTGTGTAAGGTGGGCACACACGTAAGGTGTGTTCTCGTGTACAGTATATCATACCTCTTATCTCAGAAAGCAGAATATAACAAGTTTAGGTAGGAATTTCTTTGACAGGCACATACTTCCCTTAGATAAATGAATCCATTAAAGAATAAAATTTTCACAGATATTGTGCAACCTACATCAAGAAATACAAGAAATATGTCAGCTCTATTTTACTGTTGATACTAGGTATAGCTTCATTTTCTAATTTTGTCTGGTTAATAGGCTAGTAAATCGAAGGATCAATAAAATCAAGACCAATCATCTGAGGAAAACTAAGTCTCCAAAACCTTGTTAGTGGAAGTCTTACATTTACAGCTGAACTTTTTTTCTGCGAAGAACGATTAGAAGTCCAAAATAAGTACTATGGGCATGTAGCTATATCAATAAAAATATTCTAGGTTGATTAGGTTATCAAAAACAAGTCCAAAGGTCCAAATGCAATTGCTTTGACCAATGGAAGATAGTATTTTTCTCAGTGCAAAAATTTCAGTAATTTTTTAAGTTTTTAATTAAATGAAACATTCTCCTTGAAAAATATGAAATGGTATAGAAATATGCAAAGCCAAGTGAGAACCTCCGTTTTACCAACTATTCCCGTCCCTCCCCTTTACACATGCAGCCACTGTCAGAGACCCATTTGCTTCCTCCCAGGCCTCTGTGTGTGGGCAGATTCATCTTTGCACATCAGTGTATCCTCACATTCAAATCAATTCCGCATGCCTTCTATGTAATATGACTCGCCCATCCTTCTAGGCTGGTACATTTTGGTTGATCTCATCGTTTTTAATAGATACAAAATATTCCACAGTATGGATATGATAAGATGCATTTAACCATTTGGACATTGGTGGGGGTTTGATATTTATTTTCTCCCTTAGCATAGGACATGCAGCAATGGTGTAGATATTACTTAGCATATGTTTTTGCACATGGGTGAATATTTATTGTGGGATT